TATTTATTATTATTTTTGTCTTTTTGAGATAGGGTCTTATAATGCAGTTCAGGCTAGTCTTCAATGATCCTCCTGAGTGCCACCATGCCCAGCTCTATTTTTTTTTTTGAAACAGGGTCTCACTATGTAATTCAGTCTGGTTTTGAACTCACTATATACCCCATCTCCTGAGTGCTGGGATCATAGTCATGTGCCACCAAGCCCGGCAGGATGTATCTTTAAAAGCTAAAAATGCCTGTGTAACCCAGACCAGGAAACAAATCATCAGAATCCCAGAACACCATATGCTATCTTTTTTCTTTTTTTTTCCAGTACCAGGAATCGAACTCATGACCTTGTGCTTGCTGGGCAGGTGCTATGCCGCTGAGCTAAATCCCCAGCCCCCCTTTTTTTGTCTCTTTGAGACAGGGTCTCACTATGCAGTTCAGGCTGGTCTTGAGCTCACTTTGTAGCCCAGGCTGGTCTCGAACTCGTAACAATCCTCCTGCCTCAGCTTCCTGAGTGCTGGGATTACAGGGGTGTGCCACCACGCCTTGCGTCATATAGCCTCTTAAAAAAGTTATTCATAAGGCCGGGGATATAGCTCAGTGGTGCAAGCACCTGCCTGGCAAGTGCAAGGTCCTGGGTTCAATTCCCAGTACAAAAAAAAGTTATTCATTTTGCAGTCCTGGGGAGTAAACCCAGAGCCTTGTGCATGGGAGGCAGGCTGTCTACCACTGAGCTATACCCCCAGCCTCAGTGCCCTTGAAGTCACGAGTTGGATTGCTCTCCTTTACCTCCAACGAAGAATAACTCTGGCCCTCATTTCAAACAGCAGAAATTTGTTTGACTACATGCTATACACGGGGTCATACCATATGGGCAAAATAGCTTTTTAGGAGATTCTCTGAGTGATCCTGATACATTCAGAACCACTTAGAAGGGATGGGGGTGAGGGGCCTGGTCTGACTTGGTTTTGTTGTTTTTGGTACTGGGAATTGAACCCAGGGCCTTCGCACTGAGCTACATCCCCAACTCTTTGTTGTGAGACTAGTTCTTGCCAAGTCACTAACTTGCCCACACTGAGACTGAACTGGAGATCCTTCCACCTCAGCCTCTGAGAGTGCTGGGATTACAGGTGTGTGCCGCCACATCTGGCTCTAAGTGACAGGTTTGTCAGTAGTTACTGTCACGCTCTTGGTCTAGAAGCAGGCGAACTGATTGTAGAAGTATTGGCTCCCTACGCAGAAAACAGGCTCAGAACAGGAAGAACAGCTCATTCAGTCCCGATGACTAGGCGTAAGTCCTGAGTCTGAGCCGTACGTTATTTTCTGTCTATGACTCCATTCCCCAAGAGGCCATGCTGGGGGCAGGCACTAAGCACTTTTATTTTCCTTTTTGCTGCAAGAGTTTTCTAAGTAATTAAGTTGCCCAGGCTGGGCTTAAACTTGGCATCCTCCTGTCTTAGACTCCCAGAGTGCTGGGATTTCCGGTGTGTGCCACTGTACCCACCCACTAAGCCATACTTAGACATATTTACTTCTCCTGAGTCAGCACCCTGGTTTGGGGTTTTGGGGTTTTAGTGAGTCTTTTTCTTTTTTTTTCGTTTTTTTTTTTTTCCGGTACTGGGAATCGAACTCACGATGTTGTGCTTGCCAGGCAGGCGCTGTGCCACTGAGCTAAATCTCCAGCCCCTTTTAGTGAGTCTTTAACAAGTCTGATTACTAGAGGTCAGCACCTCTCAAGTAGGCTCACCCACCTCCAGATGTAACCATACGACTTAGTTTCTAGATTTTGTTGCAAACAGTTACTGAGCCACCCTGACGGTGACTGAGGTCTACGTTATACACTTTCTACAAGTCACATAAGTAAAGAAACAAATCTCGGTACGTAGTTACCATTAAGTGTGAGATCGCACAATACATGTGAAATAGCTTTTCAGTGAGGAAACGGGTAAGGAGCGTCCCTAGAATCACACTCAGATCCCTAAGCCAGGCAGTCAGGGGCAGGTTCCTCCACTCCCACCCTTTGAGTTTTTGGCCACTAGACTGTTGTACCCTGCAGCGTTTGAAATGTAAGCTGTTTGTGACAAGGAGGATCTGGGGAAGCCACCGCCTGCCAGTCATCAATCCATCTAACTGTCCATCCGGTCTTCCATCCATCTGTGTAGTCCTCCAACAACTACCCACCCAACCTACCATGTAGCCAGCCACTAATGCCCCGTGCCTATCCATGACACCAGAAGCAAGGGTCTCCTTTACACTAATTCCGTGGCACGAGGAGGCTGACTACTTTAGTAACTAAGAGAAAACAGTGAATGTAGGAGCCAGGTTCCCCACCAGATTTAAAGTTCCCTCAGGGCTGAATACACCCTCCCTTTTTTCTTTGTTTTGTTGAAACAGGGTCTTGCTCTGTAATTCAGGTTGGCTTTGAACTCACTATGAGGCGATCCCCCTGCCTCAGCCTTGTGAGTGCTGGGATTATAGGCATGTACTATCACGCCTGGCTTCTTCTTTTTTTTTTTTTTTTCTTTTGGGACAGGGTTTGGCTATGCAGTTCAGGCTGACCTTGAATTTAGTAGTAGCCCAGGCTGGGCTCGAACTCGCAGCAATCCTTCTGCCTCAGCCTCCCGAGTGCTGGGATTACTGACCTGCGCCACCACACCCCGTGCCTGGCTTTTAAAAAATTTTCCCTAAGTCACGATCTTGCTCTGTGGTTGAGGGTGGCCTTGAACTCACTATACAGCGCAGGCTGGCGCTGAACTCTTAGCGATCCTCAGCCTCCCTAGAGTTAGGATTACAGGTGTGTGCCACCACGTCCCGCCTAAAATGCAGTCCCTGAGAAATAGGCTCGGTAGATTCTTCCATAAGACTTACAATGGGAGTAGAGAAGTAGCGGAGTCACAACACCGAAAAGGCACTTTCTGTACCTGTCACACAGCAAGTGCCAGGGGAGCACAACGCTTAGGCAGGGAAGCACGTGCGTCCCTTCCCCAGCGCATCCGGGAGAACAGGCGGACTGGGGACCGCTACAGCTTGATCTAGCCTGCGGGGTGGCTCTCCCTACACCTCAGCATTGTCCTTCTTTGCAGCTATAGCTCCCTAGAAAGTGGAGATTGCACCTTTGTTTCTAAAAAGCGCAGTGCAAGAGCAGGTCGCCCCTGTCAGGAGGCTGGCACGGCTGCCATGGGTCACGGGGACATCGCGTGCACCATTCCAGCCCCAGCACCCAGGAAACCGAAGAGCAGGGTCGGGACCCAGACAGTGTCTGTCCATTTATTTTTAAACTTTAGTGCTTATTCTCAAAGAAATCTGTCGTGCCCACTTTCGGCCGCAAGCAGGTCGGCGCCTAGAAATAACATTTATTCTAAGGCTCTGTGCGCAGGGATCCTTGGGAAGCGGTCCCCCGCCCGCATTTTCCCGTTACTCCTCCTCTCAGTCGCCTTTCAAAGAACCAGCAGCCACGTGATTCCCTCCTTTCTCCCACCTCCGAAGGCCTGGCTGATAATGGGCAGAAGCTGAAGCCAACCATAAAGCTGTACTTCCCCTCCCAGCCAATAGGAAGAGGCTAGAAGTAGACAGCTCAGATAAGCGATCTGCCCCGCCCCCTTTCAGCCCGCCCCCCCCACCCCGCCTCCCAGATTCCGCATTTGACAACTCATCTGGCCAATGAGAAGTTCCTGCTCTGTGTGAAAGGGTTGGACCGAGCGGGTGACAGACGTCCCCGTCTGGCCAATGGAAGGTCACAGGCGCGGGAGGGGTGTAGGACCGAGCCAATGGCGCGGTGCCAATAGCGAGCGTGAGGGAAAGGGCGGGACGAAAGTGTCCGCGGGAGGGAGGGGAAGGCCTAGGGAACTAAGCCGCGCTACCGCCGTCGCCGCGCCGCCGCCGCCGCCGCCGCCGCAGCCCGAGTCGGAGGAGGGAGCAGCCAGGAAGAAGATGGCGGCCGTGGCTGCAGAGGCGGCGGCGACTGCGGCGT